CGCCCCGTTCCAACCGAACCGGTTGGAACGGGGCGAGAAACCCACCCCTGAACTAAATCCACTTTGTCAGACAGACTACTTCAAGCCGCTAATGGGGGGGGGGGGGGAAGGCCCAGTCCGTGAAAATGTGTGCTAAAGTAAACATTTTAAGGTATCATAGGAGTTTATGCTTGGTTTTGCTCTGAAACAAAGCAAAAAATATCACCCTGGAATTTACCAGGAATCAAAGCTCATCAAACATTATGTAGCTATCCTAAAATTAATTTTTGCTCAATCCTATAGTGGAACATACTATGAATTTGGAGCAATATGAAGGGGGGTGGAACCTACTTGTTCAAGTTATATTCCATAGGGAAAAAATAATAATCCAAAAACATTATTTATGTTAGCCATGAAAACCAATCTACCACATTCTTTTGACATCAGATAACATATTCATGCCAAATGTTCTTATTGTATCATTTAACTAATGCAACCAACTAAGAACAGAGTAGCATGCTTTTATCAGTGGAGCTCTTAGAAGCTATGGCTAAGTCTGTGCAATCTACATAAACTTGATTCAAGCATCTTTATGGCCTGTTTTCTTTTCCTGTAACACCCAACTAGACCTTCCTGAACCTTTTTTAAAAAAAAACAGTAAACACAATTGAATCAGCTGTGCCCCAACAGATTGCAAACTGATTACAGTTTACCTTCCTATTATTTGGTAAAAAGCTAACACACGTTTTTCCTCCATAAGGATCTGCATGTTCTACGAGGGCATTTCAAACGCATCTACTATTTCAGCACCAACTAGGCAATGTGGCTTTAGCAACAAATATTGTTCCTTTAAACTGCTTCCCTTTTCCAGGCCTGATGTGTATAGTCATATTTCTGTCAGGGAAAAAGCTGATTCGATTCACTTCCTTTTTTTTCCCCACCCCGAGTCAAGACAAAAATCTAGCAGTACAGAGACATCCTGCTCCGCCGCATGGCCTCACTGATCAAGTAAGCGGGACTCAGTTCTGGTTCTTCGGTCATAATCACAATGTTCTGCCATTCACCCAGCTGGTTGGATCTCTTAATGGTATCCACCACACACAAAGCATAGAGGCAATCGTCAAAAGTTGCAGCCATTGTGAGTGGCCGTCCGTCCCAGGTCCGTCGGTCGTCTTGATCTTCGAATGCCTCCCTGACTGCTTGTACCATCTTTATAGTGCCCCGGAGGTACGGAGATGGGATGTCACTGAAGGCCTTCTCAGGTAACAAGGCATTGCTGACTGGGGCAGAATCCTTCAAGAGGAGCTCTTTCTGTGGAGAGTTGTTGCTTTGTCCGTACAAATCAGTGCCGACCGCAATTAGCCGCCCGTTTGATCCAATCACAACAATATCTTGTTTAAATTCTCCCGGCATGTTGAAATTAAGGGTAACAGTGCAGCACACGCCACCTTCCAAGACCATTTGAAATGTACAGAAGTCGTCACTCGTAATTTGCCGTATTCCCTTAATGTGGTCGGTCTGTTTCACAAAGGTCTTAAGAAGTCCATGAACTTTCACTGCTTTCTGACTGGTGAGGAACGTCAGGAGATCAATGATGTAGGTGCCTACAGAATGCAACCCTCCACCTCCCATCAGATCGTCGCAGCTCCAGTTGTACTTCTTCCCCAGAAGGCTTCCGCTGTGAACCTGCACCTCGCACACAAGCAGCTCTCCCACGTATCCCTCTTGGATCAGCTGCTTCATCTTCACGAAGGCAGGCAGGAAACGGAGAACATTGCCCATGATGCTCATAAGCTTGGGATAATAATGGGCAGCTGTCATCATCCGAAAGGCATCCAGCGGAGTGGCTGTTCTATCACAAATGACATTCTTCCCAATCCCTATTAGATATTAAAAGGGGGGAGGGGGAGGAAAAACCATAAGGTGAGTTTAGGATACGTTGCAGTACAATGTACAAGTGTAGAAATCAAGAAAAGCTACATAAATTTTTCTTTTTTGATTTAATATGTACAACTCAATTTGAATGAAGTATATGTAAGGATTGTGGAAGACGTGACCCGACAAAAGCGCGAACGTCATAAGCGCGCCAACAACACCGCGGCGCTAAAACCGCGATGTCAAAAGCGCGCCGACAACAGCGCGCCGACAACAGCGCGCCGACAA